CACAAACCTTTTTTAAAACTTCACATTCTCAGTTTAGCTCTTACCTCCGTCCGCCAGCCAAACATTTCTGCGCAGCATCTGTGGGTGCTTTGTACTTCAAAATTGAAAACCCATTTCTTTGCAACTGCTTTTGTGTTTAGTTTGTTGTCCTTCCCTCGCACCTCCGATTAGCATGGTTGGCTATGTCTGGTGCGAAAGAAGTTCGACATACATATATACTTAATTATACACTACTATACATTAATATACTATTGGGGCAAGTGCTGTTAGCGAGCACCTATGAAGGCTGGCACGGCACACGAAGGGGTGGGTAGTCAGCACCACGCCTTTGTCTCCCTAGTGGTTGATGTTTACACACCGCACCAGGTACTCATTTGCGGCTGAGTCGACCTAGGGGGAGGCCCAGGACCGGTTCAGATAATCATATCTGATTATCAGTGAAGTCACCTACGTGACTTTACCGAAAAAACCTAAGAGTAGGAATCCTTGCAGTCATGAAAGCTTCAAATCTATAATTAATATCTGGCGTTGGCCGTGAGCGGGAATCAAACTCAATACGCCCCAATTCGTAGCGCAGCACGGCTCTAACCGTTGCACTGCTGCTGCCCACACTGCGAAGACCTGTGGAGTTTCCCGTGAGGGTTGATGTCGCAGTTGTCAGCCTGTAACCTCCCACTGCTGGGCAAAGGTCTCCCCCATTTTCCGTCTCATTCCCTCCTCCCCTTGGCTGCTCCTGTCCAGCGGTGAGCTCCGAACCCTTCCGAGTTTGTCTCGCCATCTCTTACGCTCTCCTCCCGCTGCTTCTTTTCCCTTCGCTCGGTCTCCCCTCCCCTCGAGGGAATCCGTCTATCAGTCTCTCGCCAGTTGTTCTCGCGACGCCTGTTGACCCTTTTCAGTGGACTTCCTTTTATCCAACAACTGCATCAGTGATTACCGTTCTTTCCCTTATTTGTTAATTGCTGAAACTTTTACTTCAACTTACATTCTGACACACTCCTTTCCGTATATATATATTGTAGTTTTTCCACCTGTTTCATAATTAACGACCGTTCCTGCGATACACGAACTGAAAAAAATTTACGTGCATTACATTCCAAATGTTTATTTTAGGGCACACGAGCAAAATTTCCTTTTGCAAAGTATCTCAAAGACCAACAGCGTTTTCACGAGTTGAGGGTTGGGGGGAGGTGGTGGGCTGGGGTGGTTAATGAAAGAAATCCGCCGCGTTACAGAACGGCCACACGTCTCGAGTGCACGCGATTCCCCCTGAAGTATTGGCACAGGAACCTTGTCCGTGCAGACGCGAGCCAAGCGATTCGCGAAGACGCTCTCTCCTTCCAAATCCCACCGCTTCCCCGTAAGCTCGGAGGAACCGCCCCGCGACTGCTCTTGACGTGCGCTCCTTTTGAACGTGCCCAAGCCCATCATGGGACCTCCTTTGCCAGTACCAAAATATACTAATAGGGGTTTTCCCCTTTTTTCTGGCAACAAAACTGATACCTTTTGCAAGGAATCATGCTTACATTAACCACAATACTTGCAGTCAAATGCAAACAAAAAAGAATACTCTGATCATTTTTGCATTGTCTTTGAAACTGATTGGTCCACACCAGAGACAGCTTTCTTTGGAGCCTCGTCTCATATGGTGTTTATTTTAGGGCACGCGCCTTTTGGCGTCATCTGGTCGAACACCATATGAGACGAGGCTCCAAAGAAAGCCGTCTCTGGTGTGGACCAATCAGTTTCAAAGACAATGCAAACATTATCAGAGTATTGTTTTTTGTTTGTATTTGACTGCAAGTATTGTGGTTAATGTAAGCATGATTCCTTGCAAAAGGTGTCAGTTTTGTTGCCAGGAAAAAAGGGGAAAACCCCTATTAGTATGCTCAAGCCCCTTTAAAAAAAAATCTAGCTCGCACGCCCACACATGCCTCACGTGTAACGCGATTAACTCTTGTGAATAAAATAATAATAACAGTACAAACGGAGTCTGATATATTGGCGGCGATAACAACGAAACGTTTTACGAGAATGTGACAATAAAGATTGTTGTCCCGACCTAACAGTTGACTGGGTTTTAAAGTTAATGCCAACAAAAAAGTAACAACTCTTTAAAAATGTGCAGATGTGACCGGTTTAGTAAATAGAGAGATATATCGGGATGCATTTGTAATATGCATGCTTCATTATCTCACAGTGAAAATAACTTGCTTGATTTCCATATCATAGCTTTGACAGCTAAATATCTCAGAATAAGATTTGGTGGCTAACATTTTATGACCTTCAATTCTTTGTGCAGTGAAAAATCGGAATGTTCCAAGTTCACGTTCTGGTCAGGTGTTAACTCTTCCTCCTTAACCTTCAACCCTCTCGAGTCCACAGAAAGCAAGCGGCCCTTCGTGAGAAGTCCACCGTGGATATCTTGTAGCGCATCAGAATTTCACTTCACTACGAGTGGACGGTTTCGCGGAGCTCTGCAGTCCAAACAGCATGGCTCTGCACTGCTTTTGTCACAGCTGGATTTGCAGGTCGCCGCGCACGTGCGCACGCGTCCATGCGAGCGAGTGCCAGAGACGCGCTGTGATGCGAGGGAGGTCTGGAGACGTCCGGCTTTTAGGACGGAAGTCGGATAAACGATGAGTGGCGTGTGGGATGGGAACGCACGAAGGTGCTCCGAGCGTGATTAGGGCAAAGAGTCGTGCCAAAACCACGGTGGCTCGGAGCGGTTCTTGGCAACTGTCAACTGTGCAGCTCAGTGCTAAGCACGCTTACCCAACCGGGAGATTGTTAAGGGGCTTTTGTATCTCTTGTCCGCTAGTGTTACAGGCCATTGGGGTGGAGTGTGCCTTCTTTATAAGCTGAAAAGTTGATTTTTTCACAACCTGTGACATGATCTGCGAGCGTAAGCAAATTGTGTGCAGGTGCCGTGGCTTTTAATAGCAGTCCAATGGTTCTGGATTTGGATGTTTGGGTGGTAACGTTAATGAGTGCTCAGCTTCATGTGGGAGAAAACCCAGGAGTAAACTCAGAGTATGCAGATTAAACCCATGGATACAAGAGATGACTGAGCACTGCCATTCGCTACCTGGAAAGCCCTAATGGCCACCCACTAACCATGCTCAAGCCTGCTTAGCTTCTGAGGTCTAATGAGACCGGGCCTATTTATGATAATTTTATTGAAATTTTAATCCAATTAATCTTATAATCCTATAAGTGGAAAAAAACGTTACAATTCCCACAAATTAAAGATTCAAAAGTCAAAGTGGTATAAGAAATCAGAGTCGGATGAGCACGACGCAGCAAACATCTCCAGTTTACTGCCTGCCCTGAGCCAGTGCTGGAAACTCTACATTCCTCTCCTGGACCAAGTCCATCCATGAAAAACCCACTGTGAAACTTTCCATGAAGGGATACTTAAAACATCATACAAATAAAAATAACATGTGTCCAGTCCAAAACATGTTATATTCAGTCTCCTGTTTTCTCATTAAATGTCCAAAATCTCTAACTTTCCTTTCTCTAAGTATTCCTATTGACGTTCTCGTCGTGTACCCTGCTGCCCATGACACGCTTACATCATGCGCCTTGTCTGCCTATGACATATTTTCTGTTGCTCCCTAGTTTGCTTTGGTGGGGTCTTTGTATCACCATTGCCAATTGCATTCCTTGTAAAAATGGAGACGGGGAAGGGAACGAGGGGGTGGCTTTTGACCAGAGTTGTGGGTGGGCAGTTATTGTGCTGCATTGAGGATGGAGAGGGGAGGGGGGGGCAAAGGGGGGGACTGGCTCTGGTAGTGAACGTGGGTGAGGGTGTGTGGCATGGAGGCGGGGGAGAGGGGGTTCAGGGAAATGGCACGACACGGAGAGTTGTGTATGAATACTGTAAACCTAATTATAGCCCCTAATGCCCACCCAACAAGCGGCTGCATTGTGCGCCGCGTCGCTGCGCCGTATGAGGTTTCGCTCGCGCGCACAAAGCGCCTTTCCGAAAAAGTGGGTGGCCAAGGCAGGGCCAGATACAATTGCTAAATCACAAGTGATGCAACGTGCCGCGCCAACGTGTGCAGACGCGTTCGTATTTGTCGCTTTCTGCAGAATCTTACACAGGCAAGCTTTTTTCGTCTTCTTCTTTTGTAAACGGTTGTTTCCAAACGCCCGATTGAGTATAAAGGAAATGTATACCGATGATAATTTGCGGACGTTTCATCGATCCACCGTCGGACGAAGGCTGCGTAAGCCATGCCGGGTTATTTACGGGAGGCTGTTTGACTATACTTCGCCAACGCTGGCTCAGATATCACTCTGCATGGGTGTTAGACATAACCGGGTATTGAGCACAGGTGTCCAGGTTCGAAGCACAGATCACTGACCACTGGGCCATCATTCCACCGAGATTATTAAATGCAAACTTTAAAAGTATTTGGCTGTTATAAATTTCCACGTGAGTAGCCATTTCGTTGGGCTATCATTTGTGGCCAGGTCACTTCTGAAAAAAAGATATAGAGCTCAGTGGGCCTTACCTGGTAAAATAGAAGAAATAGTGCTTAGTTAAATACGTATAGACAAACGGTTGTTGGTGTGGAAATATGTTTTTGACCTCACTGGTGTTTGGCTAATCCGTATGATATGAAATCTTACATTTTTTGGGCATATAATGAATAGTCATTATATTTTGAAGGAAATAATCCGGAGTTCACCGGTTCGATATCGCAGGTGGGGTCAAATGTGGGTGCCCCTATTTCTTCTGAGATATCCTGGCCAGCATGAAAGATTTAGGCCAAAATACCATCCAGAGGGGGTTACCCAGAACTCACTCTGGTGGAGGCCCTTTCCTGCCATCAGTGGCACGAGTAAGACATTACAGGGCTGCCACTTTATAAACTTTGACAATCTAGCATGGGACCAGATAGCGGAATGCATATTCGTAAGCGCGCACAAGTTTGCAGGAAAACGAGTTACGCCCTACGATTGCTTTGCTTTTGGTTGTTGTTTTTGCGAAGGTGGCCGCCATCTTCAAAGACTCAAGCATCGGTAATCAAATCAACATCGTCCTCGTGAAATTGGTCATCGTTCAAGACGACAAGGTCAGTGGCGACCGCCATCGTGCCGCCGTGTTCACATTGAGCCGGGCACTCGGCGTCACGGCTCGTCGTGGTGGCTGCCAAGTCTCTGCGGGTTGGCCCTACTTAACGCGATGGGGTTTTTTAATTAACGGCGGCAATTTCCAAGCCCACGTGTCGGGACCCCGGCCAGAGAAAATAGAAGGCCCTTAGGTTAGATGAAGTCACCGAATGGTCTGTTGTTGTAAGTGATCATGACGTATAATTATGCTCGGGTTGTATAAATAAACTGAAATGAAATGATAAATGTTTGAGTTGTTAAATTGTGTTTTTATTTTATTCGAGGCAGTCAATCAGTTTATAATGGGCGAATGGGATCACTCATCTTGTGTTTCAGCCCAGTAATCCTAAATTTGTATGAAATCACATTCAAGTGCGAGATAAATATTATCCTAAGACTATAAAGAGTAACATGTTGGTGAATTGTTTCAGAGAGTTTCATTCTCAACTCGTTTTCACTATTGTTTCTGAAAAAAATATGCAGTAATTTTTTAAGAATCTTGCCATTATTCACAATTTTGTCATCAAATATTTCCATTGCATATAGATAATAAAATTATTTTAAAAACCTATTTCTTGACTGTTGTAGATTGTAACAACCAATATGCATAATGATACACACAGATTGTGATGTATGTACACCTGAAGGTAAAATTGTGACTTAAGGACCAGTCTTCCCACAATGCTTTTGCATGTCACGTGACATCACCACACCATACTCTCCTGCCTGACCAGTTCCTTATGTTTTACAGAAAGTGTTGAATGTATTGATATTTAAGCCGTTTGCATTGGTATACGAGTCAGAGTCCGGTCTGAAATCATCTCTGGGATTAAATGGTCCCGTCAATACTTGTGTCTCATTGCAGGATGGCCCATCGATCTCCTTCAACGCCGAGACGACGCTCCGCAACTTCTGCTTGTGGCAGCAGGGCCGGAACTTACTGGACGACAGTCACCCTCTCCACCACGACACGGCCATCCTGATTACCCGGTAACCCACAACTGCCCACGGCACCGGGGGGGGGGGCGGGGGGCGGATACCACGGGGGGTTCGTCAAAGATTACGGACGTGCACATTGGATCAGCGTTCTTCGTCGCAAGGTCTGCAGGCCACTGAAGGCCCTGGTGGCCCTTGATGTACGGCCTCCCGACAAATACACAAATGTGAAAACACTGCCCATCATGATGCTGTCAAACCCAATGGTTCCAAATGTATGGCGGCCCTAACAATTATGTTTTATTGGCTAAAGTGGCACCCCTCCACTGAAACGTTGAGAAGAACACTACATTAGACACTTTAGTATTAGAAAACCACTGAAGGTGTGCACTTTTAAATCTAAATTGAAAATCATTTCTTTAGAACTGCATTTTGTATTTCGTTTGTTGTCCTTCCCCCGCACCTCCGATTGGCACGGTTGGCTCCGTGCGGTACAAATGAAGTTCAACATACTTACAGGATGTGTGCAATCATTAGAACAATCACACACGCGGCTTTTTACTTGGGTACAGTATGTCAATCAAATAGAAATGATGCCATTCAGAAATAAAGTTTTTGCCCCCCATTCTTGGTAAGAGAGAGGCGCTTTAAAAATACCACGGTGTCAGACGCACGCCAGCAAACGTATTTGTCATCCGCTCTGGGTTTGCGAAGGGGCATTCACTTTCATGTATCTATCAAAACCGCTAACTCATGCTCGCAAAACAACAATCCACAATCATTGTTGTTTTTGGGAAGCTATTAAAATGTTAACTGCATGATAACCTAATTTGTGGAACTACCAAGGGGTAAACAACGCGTACGTAGCGATGGATCGTTCGTACACGGACAGTGATTGTCACGTCCGGGATATGTGCTCATAGAATCACGCATATACGGGTCTATAACATGTCTTTTGTATATGTTGTGTGTAATTGGTTCATGCGAACCCTGCAGCAACTCGAGTCACTGCGTGTACCACATTGTGGATGAAAAAAAAGGATAAATTCTGGAATTGACTGGTGACCCCCAAATCATACCAATTCACCAAACTTCAAAGGGGGGTTAAGTCGTATATGCCCATTAAATAGGAAACAGCCTCTCACCACATCACGCCAATGCATCACCAATCCGACAACCTGATATGGCTACTCACCACGTCACAGCTTAACGACAGCGTAGTGGTGAGCACACTGCTCTGTGGACCCGGTGACCTGATTGCGATTAGCAGCCACGGGTAACATCAGTGGCGAGTGATACCTGAACCGGTCCTGGGGCCCCTTTCACCAACCCACATTGACTAGCGTGGTGAAATATGATCAAACAACCCCAGAAACCAAGAAGTCTTCATCCAGCTGTGGATTTACAATGGATTCCACAATATTATTTAATTTACACTCAACACACGGAAAAAGCCATGCTCAGTGGCCTGTTTAACACGTAGCAGGCTTTCGCGACCAATATTATTAATAATCAACGTTTTTGGGTTTAGATCGCGTTATTTATAAATGTGTCGTAACCCTCCACCACCCGACACGGACAATCAGTAAAAAAAGTGTCACGTTGACAAAAGACAATAGTTCACTGCTTTAGCCCACTGGTGTGTTGAATCGTGAAATCACAACATTTACATTTTTTTTTAAAGTGGCCTGCCTGATACATTCAATAACCTGCACCACACCATGCTACGCACATCTTTAACAACATAATCTAATGCATTATATATTTAAATATATCTCCCCCCCAATAAATAAATAAATATCCCACTCACAAAACAAACCCGTGCCTTCTATTAGCGGAGACTTTTATTAGCGGAGACGTTTATTAGCAGACACCCTATCATTGCTGATGTAAGGAGCTCTCCCCGCGGCAAATCTTCAGCCGGGAAATATCCGCGTAGAGACGACGGAGACACGGTGCCTCTGTGGGCAGCGAGGCGTGGGTTGAGTGAGCGCTAAGATAGTGAGATATGGGCGCACTTGAAAGGGGTGGGATGGCACGGACGTGCCCGTGCGTGCGTGTGTTTGTCCTCTCCTCCGTTCCCGAAGCAATTTAGTCTCTCAACGCGAGCCCGTGTTTATTTGCGAAGGGGGGGGCGGGTGGGATACGGGGGGGGGGGCAGGGCGTTTTATTGTCCGGAGCTCATTTCACGTCGGAAGGCACCTGTGTCAGCAGCACGGGAGCGCCGCCCCGGCGTCTTCATTAAGATGTCAAAAGTCGAAGCAGTTAAAGTTTAAAAGCCCTCTCTGTTTACAGCGCCGGGGGGGGGGCAGGGGGGGGGGTCGAGGGTGGAGTTAGTGGTGGGGGGGGGGGGGGCGACTTTAAAGGGGGCTCTGCCCGCACGCGGCTGGGCCGGGTTTCCCCACGCGTCGTCCCCACGTCGCCATCGGGAGAGGGCCCACGCGGTCGCGTTTCACGGCTGGCCGCCCGGGTGTTTGGCGGTGGCTGTTTTTGCCGATTGTCAAAAGAATCGGAGGCTCCGTTGTTGCCCACTGATCAGCGGCTGAGAGCCAGGGGGGGGGTCGAGGTGGGATGTTGGGCGCTCTGCACCCTCCTGCAGCGTGGAACCGCGTCGGCCCGAGGCACGGCAGAGGTCGTGGTCGATTGGTTCCATGTCAGATACCTGTGCCGTGTATAGACGCGTAGTTCTTATTTTTTAACACAAGTTAATTTAATTTGCCGTTTTTTAGGCGTGTTCGGTGAATAACGTCTGTCTTGGGATTATTTGTAAAATAATGGTTCATCTTCTTGGTTCTTTCGGTAAAGTCACGTAGAAGGGAAATAATAAAAATAAAACAATGAATGTTTTATAATAAATGTTTTATTTTTATTATTTTATTATTTCCCTTCTACGTGACTTTACCGAAAGAACCAAGAAGATGAATCCCTGCAGTCACGAAAGCTTTAAATCGAAAAATAATGGTTGTAAGAAGGAAACATTGTTTCAGCGGAGCATATATATAGACGGATTTAATGGACTGTCAAATAATTCGGAGACTCGGCTAGTGAATACCACCCCCAAAAAATATGAAAGGCCTAATTACAAAATCACTTAAGCAATATAATTAAATTCTTAATGTATTTGTATTCAAGTGATAAACTTAAAGATGTTCCCACTGAAACGAGCGTGGATCCGTGCTGACCCCTGCTATGCCACTGAACCAGTGGTGGAGATGCTGTAGCAGGGGCCAGACAATCCATATAACAACCATTGCTGACTTTTACTAGTAGTTACTATTTTAGATGTTCCCTAATTAAATGATTCAGAAGTCTGTTCTTGTTCTTGCACGTAAGGCAGATGCAATGAGGTTATTCTCCCACAACAATTATTTATATATATGCATGTGTGTGAGCAGTGGTGGAACATTTTGGGGGAGTGGTAGCGTAGTGGTTAACACACTGGGCTACACTCCTCCAAACCCCGAATTGGATTCTCGCTCATGGCCAATAACAATTGTGAATATCTGAACCTGTCCGGAGCCTCTCCTAAGTCGACTCAGCCTTAATGGAGTACTTGTTGAGGTGTGTAAACATCACCACTCGGGAGACAAATGCGGTCGGGTGTGGTGCTGGCCACCCATCCCCTCGTGTGCTGTGCCGACCTTCATAGGTGCTACTCGCTAATAGCACTTGCCCCAACTGTCTGTTAAGGCTATACGGGGGATCTTTGCATTTTGCAGCAGTTATATTTACGAAACTATGAAACCAGCAAATCGAATTCCATTTGCAGCCATCACTACCATCAGTGCAAAGTAGTATTAGAACTTATTATGGGCCTACCTTAGGTCGACTCAGCCTTGAACGAGAACACGTGGGAAACACAGTTGGCTGGGTGTGGTGCTGGCCACGCCAATTCACTTGTGCACCTTTCCGTCCTGAATCTGCTCTCAATGATAGAACTTGCCCCAACAGTCTATCTGGCTACATGAGATTGGTATGTGTCTCTTAATATGTGTACGTGTATATGTTTATAAAAGTACTCCAATGGACTTCTAAATCCCACGCCTCTAAGTAAGAATGTTCCTTCTATGGCCTTCATTCTCCACCCTGTGGTCACTAAATGTCCACCTGGCTGGCTGTAATTGCCATAGGTCATTAAGAGGAACCGCATGGAGTAGAATGAATTAATTATGTTAACAAATACGTATCCATATTTTGTTTGTGGCACAAGCGTCAAACCATTGTTATCTGAATTTGTCATTTTGTTGTTTTCCTTTGCGTTGCAGGGAAGATATTTGTAGGGCGCTGAACAAATGTGACACATTAGGTGAGTAATTTATTTTCCATTACATGTCAACGCACCTACAATTTGTTGAAATATGAACATGTTCTGAATTCTGTTTTAAGTAAATACCTGTCAATCAAGCTGCCCACATTCCGGGCAAGACATTGCATGTCAGCTGAGCACTTTTCTTAAAAAAACTAAAAATTGTACAAATAACATACATTGAACATAATTAATTTACCAAACAGACTGTCATTGCCAATTCTCAATTTTGTGTAATGAGAAAGCCTGTTTCAAGAGGGGGACAACAGAGGCGGCACTTGATTCATCACGATATTTTTCAACGTTTGTAACCACGATGGTTAAATGCCCGTCGCTCATTCAATGAACGCACATCCGCAAATGTGCCTTCGAGGTTGCGATTCTGTGAACTGTGGTCGTGGCGCACGCCTGCGATCCAGTGCTGCGGAACAGTCGGCGGTTGTTGGATCGCCACACAAATGCCGTGAAGCTCTCTTCCCGTGGGCTTCGAGATAGTGCCATGCCCCGGCTCGCAAGGGGAATGCAGTGCAACCAAATGTTGACCCCAACTGTCTTCCTTCTGTATGGGATACAGCGTTGTCCCTTGCGTGCATTGGTTTTCCCCTGGTGGTCCGGTTTCCTCCCACATGTCAACACTCAATTGGCCGAAAACACCTTAATATATAGAAGACCGCAAAACTTGGAAGGGTGGTGGGATTTGGCACCGGCTTACCGCGTGGCTGCCTTTACCACTTTTCTAAATTGTGTATTAAGTGATAATTATTTTCACAATGATAATGATTCTTCTTCTCGTGTGCGATTATATTAAGTTAAAGAGCAATGTAAGTATTTAGGTCCATAGATTTTTAGCCGGTTGATGGCATTTTCACTAGACGAGTGTACTTCAGCTAAATTCCTCCGTTGATAGATATCACAGAGCATTGACTACACATGCGTTCAATCCTTTGAAACATGTAGCCGCAATCACAATTAGGCATGTGATAATGATCATACATATAATTGCATCATTAATGGGGCTTCACAAGAAGCATATAATGAGGTTTGTATAGTTTGTATAGTTCTAAAAATGTCACATCCAAAATGTATTCACTCACATGTGAATAAAATGTGTATAAATACATGACGCCTCAACGTCCTATGAGCTGCCACTGAGAGACAGCTGCTAGCGGTGACGAAAATGAACGACAATGAGGGTCACGCGTCTCATCCTCTCACTGCCTTTTGTCTCGGGAAGCGGAGTGACGGTCGGGTGGGTCGGCTTTGTCCAGCCGCCGCCGCCGCGGTGACTCAAAGTCGCGAAGCCATGCTAGAGACCACACAGCGGTAATCGATCGGAGCGAGTTGCCGCAAGCCTCGGTAATCACTCACGGAAGCTGTCTGCTGGGGTTAGCGGCTGGTCGGCTCGCAAGGGACCGTTGGGATTCCTGCCCCCTGGGCGGGAGCCACAATGGGACCTGGTTTGGCTAATTTGGGTGGACAACTTGAAAATAGATCATGCAGGTAGGTGTGGGGGGGATACAACTTTATCTGATGCGCCGCTCACCAAAAAAATATGCGCTACTCCCTGCTGTCTCTCAACCATTTATTTATCTGTTCGTATATTTTTTATTTTAGTTTTTTTTCTCTTTTCTCTCTTCAGTATTCTTTCCAGAATAAATATGGTGCAATTTTAGTGTCATCTCAACGGGCACTCCCGTCGGTTTTAAAGCAGGGCACCGATTTATTCGTTTCGACAAAAAAGAATTTCACCCAACTCACTGAAGTATGACGAATATGCGTTTGGGCACGAATCGTACAATGATCTATTTTCGTTTATAGACTACTATCTTGAAGCAGCGGCGCCTGTTTCAGTTCTACATCGAGACATCTGGCCCTGCCGAGCGTTAATGTGACAAGAGCTGACGTTGGAAAATCCTACTTCCCAGACTAATGCTAGATCCACAAAGCTGGACTCATACATTTGCTTATTGTGTATTTTTTCACGAGATGACAGTCTCGTTCCTTTGAAGTGTTACACTCTCAAGACCAGTTGGAGCTCTGCGGATTCATACTGATATTAACCAATGTATGTACGATTCATTACTATGTGCCAGAGCTTTGCATTGCACCGTTGATTCTCAATGTTTCATGAGTTAGTATAAAGCAGGCACCACCCACATGTCTAGACATAAAGCCTTGCCACGACTGTCTGTGTGAGATGTGAGAAGTTTCTGCTTTGTGTCTCGTCAGTTAATCTAAGCTATTACCTTGAAGCTCTTTAATTAGTGTGTGTTCATCGGTGCATTTATGGAGATGCTAGTATTTGCTCAAAAAAAGAATCAATCCATATCGTACTTCCAAATATCGATCACCGTTTCAGAGGCAATCGAGACGACAAATTTCGCTTTTTTTTTGTTCAAGAGAGATCTTGCACTTGTTTTTACTCAAGGGCAAGAGGTCATCAAGCCCATTGCTTGTTGACGCCACCCACCGCACCTCATGATCACTCTCCACCTTCTGCTACAACCCCCTAAGTCGTTGCAAATTCAACGTGACCTGCGAGGTCTGCTCTTACAGTCATCCGACCATCTGGCTTCAGGTCTTCCCATTGGCGGCTGACCTATAGGTGCCACAGCAATGTGCACGTAAGTCATCTGCCCACCTCCATCCATGTGCGTGCTCCAGTGAAACTCATCTTTCTGAACGCGTCCGCAATGCCTTCTACCTGGTAGTTTATCACTGGGTGCCATGCGGAAATTGGTCGTAAGGCCAGCACTTCACTAAACTTTTCATTACGAACACCGCGAATTTAGTGATGCGCACACCCATGAATGTATAACTCACACTTGGGGTTGGTGGGCTACCCAGAGACCGTCATGCGACTCCAAACTTGCAGGGACAAAAAGGTGATGGTTTAACTGCAGCACGGCAAGTAGGCTGCTGGCCTGTTGGTTCACATTTTACATTTTTTTTCCATTCCCTTGTCTGTTTGGGTTTTCTCTGGATACCCTGGCTACTTCCCACGATTGTGAAATAAATTGCTAAAAAACAGATTAACCTTAAACATCGCAAACAGGAATCTCCTGCAATGATCTTAAAGCGTATTTGATGCTTTCCTAGCTAAATAAAGACGTTACCATCTTTATTATTCTTACAAAGCAAAGCTGTGGAAATTCAATTGTTTTTTGAGGACTAATTTTTGTGTCTGTCTTGGGTAAACAACATCCCGATGATGGTTGTAACCCAAACAACCTTGTTGTGGAAGTTATGGCTCGAGAATCAAAGAGTTGAGCGTGGTGTTGTGAAACGGGTGGCCCAAAATTGAACAGGACAAAGGCAAGTTGAGCCAGGGAACGTGCCCTTGATCATACATCCCAATAATAGTAAAAATAAGATATTTATAATATTTATTCTGCATATAAACGCACATAGCCGTGTTAAGGTGTATCTGAAGGATGTATTACTCTTGTGAAATGTGTTGTTTAGCACATATTGTTCTGGATTACAAAGCATACAATTGAAATCTACGTTCCTGTTTTAATATCTGAAATGTCAAAGTTGAGATTGACCTGAGATTTTTTAAAGAAATGTCCCCGTAGCGTGATCACATTTAAACAAGGCAGAGATATTTGACGATGTCCCTGTGTACATTTCTGGCACTCTGGGAATTGTGAAATTGCTTTTGGAAAACACCAAGACTGTGAAAGAATCGTGGCCTGTGCCTAAAGTTACGCCATGAATATTTCACAGGAACTATTGTATAGAAACACGGCGTTTGGGGAATGATGAGTGGAACTTTGTCCCGTGAAAATAAACTCCAAGAATTCGTAATATTCATGTGGGATCAATGTTCTCAACTCCTGATACTTTGCTGAATTCAACACTTTTATTTTTTATGTGCATGCGGTATCTTAGAAAAACAAGATAACATAATGTTTTCAAAGCATGAGTTATACGGTTACTTTATGCTTTAAATGATACACATATTTTCTGTATTATCTTTGTGCACTTGAGCTGATAGATGCAGATAAAACTGAAGATAAATTATTTCGTAATATTAGAAAAGGTTTTTTCAGGAACAGTGATGTTTTATTTGTAGTTTTTTTTTATACAGTTCCAACGGTCCAACACTTATTGATTTGTTGGCAAAGTCTTATATCCTATTTAACACTTTTGAGCAGACTGCCACACATACACAAGACAAAGATCCCCCGTATAGCCTTAAGATACGTTTTGGGACAAGTGCTCTCAGCGAGCGTCTACGAACGCCGGTGGGTGATCGGCACCACGCCCGGCCGGTGGCGATGTGTACACACCGCACCAGGTAGTCATTTGAGGCTGAGTCGACCTAGAGGAGGTCCCGCAGCGGTTCAGATAATTGTCGTCACTGGTGTTGACCACCCACAAAGAGGACCACTCTATTCATGCCAACCACTGTTGCCCCCACGAATGCGGACGTTGCCATATTGAGCCAGCTTCTCATTTTAGGCTAAGTCAACCTAGGAGAAGATCTAGTGAGGTTCAAATGCTGATTGTCTCAGGTATCATACCAAGATTGATAGAGTAAAGGGGTGTGGTTTACAACTGCTGGGGAAAAAAATCATTGTCTAGACTCAAGAAACTCTGCCCGTTCACGGACATTAATCTTGTTTAATTGTCGATATTAAACAGACCCTGCAGCTGTTTATTGTACGTCTTCATCACCTATTATCTATTGAGACGGCTCATTTTTTTATCATAGGTTCCTAATGTGTTTGTGTATAGTGCATGATGTGTGTGCCTCTGAAACATAGCGCAATTCTGATATAGCCTTGCACTGTAAGAATAGCGCAAATACTAAATGTGCCGAGTTATGATCCGTCGTTTATTATAATAATGTGTCAGTGTCTGGCTTATAATCCTTCAGTGTTTGGTGCTTCGTCGAGTGTTTAATATATTGGTGTGAGATGCACTGAGCTTAATCTTATCATGTGCACGGTATCTGTGTATGGTGTACGGTCTATTATTGTAGAGTATGCAATGCATTAGTGTATATAGTGTATGATGTGTGTGGTGTATGATGTGTCTAGTGTATGATGTGTATAGTTGATGATGTGTATAGTGTATGATGTGTATGGTGTATGATATGATCACTGTATATGTCACCATCCAGTATATAATGTCACCGTATAGTGTATAATGTAGCAGTATATGTTATGAATTTTCCTATGTAACCATATATTATATGATGCATCTGGTCTATGTTGTCTTGGGGCTGATAGTGTATAATCCATCAGCGTATGAGCATAAAGCGTATTATGCGTCCATAAATTATCTATCTGTGCATGATACGTCAGCTTATAGCACGTCTGCGCACCGTGTGTGACGTTTCAGTGTCGCGCGTACCGCGTGTGTCTGCCGCCGTGTAGTGTGTATGCGCAACGTGTCGTTGGCACGGAGTGTTGCGAAGTGCCGGTTACGAGACGCGTCGGGCGCGTGCCATGTGCCCGGCGTTCACGCGTCGTTCCCCTGTGGGATGATCGCCTCCGCAGGACTGGCGGAGATCGGCACGGTGTGCGATCAGTACCGCAGCTGCTCCATCAGCGAGGACAGCGGCCTCAGCACGGCGTTCACCATCTCCCACGAGCTGGGCCACGTGTAAGTGAACCTACACCTTACGATTTCTAACCCCCACTCTTACACCGGGGACATCAGTTTATCACGAAACTCCCATCGGTCGTTGACCGACCCCGAGTGGTTTCAGTCATTTACCATGAACCCCGTGGGATGCTGCCCGTGATGCAATGGTCGGCACGCTGGACTTGCATTTCGATCTCGCCGTGTGAACAGCGGTGCAAGTTTTTTAAATCTCCCCGCCTCTCTCCACCTAATGGTATAAACGGGTTCACCACAACTAGATGTTTGCGTGTGGTGAAATAAAGTGTGGGTACTCTCACCTCTTCCAAGACGTCTCGTCAGCATGGAAGAGTAGGCCAAATACCCTCGAGAGGGGCTCCTAGAGCTCCCTCTAGCGGAGGATCTTCCGCCAGCAGTGGTGTGAGCGAGTAATTTCGTGGCCGGGCCTTTACTGTTTTACCATCACTCTCAGCTCCCATTCTCATTGGCCATTAACTCTGAATGCCATTGACCGTGAGCACGATGGACTCTGACCTCAAATGGCCCTGGATAATATTGACCCTGAACACCATTGATTCATAATTCACGACACCCTGGACATCATTGACCCTGAATTCACAATTGATCCCGCACTTTGAGGTAGGGCATGGTAAATGGTGGGGGGGGGAGGGCATTAAAACCAACCTTACAAATTCTCAGGACATTAGTCGATGCACGTGGAAACATAAACAAAAAAAAACTGTGCTAATATTGTGATTGCTGTTTCCATAGCGGAGGATAGCCCGGGGTGCCGTACATACTGATCTTTCAGAATGGGTGTGCCTGTGTGAATTCCACGGCACGATGAATTCAGCCACGGTTTTACAACTGCGGTGCGAGCGGGTAGATCTTGGCAATCCGTAACAAAACCCCAGCTCTGCACTAAAGATCGTTCCCCGATCTCCTCGAGGATTTTTTTTTAACCAGAAGCCACACTGCAGTGGAAATTACCGATGTGTCCCGTCACGTTGGGTTTTTATGCACGGCAAATTGTACAGGTCTGCCTGACCTCCGTTGTTTCCATGTGTGCCGCATTTCCATTGAACCCTACAGTGGGGTTATGTGACCACAAAATACTCTCCATAACTCAGCCCGATGTTCCAAGTTAATGGAAACAACACAAAAGTGGGATAACAACAAAAAAAGTCGTAGTGATTTGTAGCAGAGGAGTTCAATTGGAGTTGTTACATGTGCTTGCTGGATCGTTTTCAGGTTTTATATCTTGAGTTTATAATGGATAAATGTTTCTAGCATGGCAAAAAAGTCCCAAAATGTTCTTCTACTGCTTGTATTGTTAATTATATTTTTATTAAAACATAGTAAGGTTTTATTTATCAGGTAAAGCCCACTGAGCGATTTTATCTCTTTTTCGAAGGTGACCTGGCCACACATGATAACTCAACGAAGCAGCTTATACCATCAGATGTGCGAATGTATAACAGCAGCCAATTAATTCAAATGAGGCGGAGTTACATTTCTAAATGTGGAGGGCAAAACTGGAGGAACCCCGATGTATATCCACTCCGACCGCCAAGGGGAGAGAGAACACGCAATCTCGAAATATGCAACAGGAATCGCCAGGATCTGGGATAGAACCCACGAACTCCTGCATACCAGGCGAGGGAGACAACATTTTGCCACCACCAGATGGTGGAGTCATGTGATGGGCTGAACAGATATCCTTCTAGATTTGAAGCTTTCGTGACTGCAAGGATTCATATTCTTAGGTTTTTTTCGGTAAAGTCATGTAGGTAAAATTTTTTATTTATAAAAGTAAAATAATATAAAAATCACGACGTTTGGGAGGCAACACAAGCTTCCGTCTTCAGGTGGAATCGTCACTTGATACAGCAATCGTGCTGTGACGGTTCCACCTGAAGACGGAAGCTTGTGTTGCCTCCGAAACGTCGTGATTTTTATTTAATTTTTATTTTACTTTTATTAATTTTAATTTTTTACCTACGTGACTTTACCGAAAAAACCTAAGAATAAGATATCCTTCTGCCAGTATTATGTTCAGCACAGCTATCCCGAAGCTGCACATAACTTCTCCAGAAGTTCTGGTAAAGCAGCGGAAGCAGGACATGAGGACGCCTTGTAAGAGCACAGTTCTGAGACGAGTAACAAATGCTTACATCGCACTGGTGGGAAGAAGGGGGAGGGCAACTCCTGTTACAAGCACACGACTTCACGTATAAGGACAGCTGGCCTTGCTGTCAAAGGGGAGTGCTTATAATTCCCAGCTGCGACATCTCTTATCTAGCAATAGACGGCACTACAAAGATTGCTGAATATATATTGTATGACAGATTAAACCAAATTTATTCTCAAGCGATTGGATAAGTAAAATGGACAAAAACTCAATTAACGATTACGTTTTTTTTTTTTTGTCCAGTCATTGGTTGCTGGGCTGAGACCACAAATAGCATCTGGTGGTATAATTATCAGGCTTGGGCTGCCCAGATACAACCCCAGTACCACAGTGGGCTCATCCCGGTTCTCTGATTTGGACTTTACGAGCCCCCCTTAGCCAGGGGCACAGCCACCACGTTAAGGAAGTCGGGAGTGCCCTAATGGTGAATGGTGCCAGGTGTTTTTTTGTTGGTGAGATTGCAGATAGGGTCTGTGGAAAATCTTCACTCACTGCCCCCATGCAGCGTCAGTGTCCTGCAACCCACGTGGCATCTACCGCCTCCTTGGATTGGTTGAAAAACAACTTAGCATTCATCTATGACGCGTTGTTGTTGCTTTCCGCCCCTTTCCGCCATACAAAAGAGAGACTTCTCAACTTCTGCCACAGGGTTCCACTGTACTGTTAATTACATTAAATCTACGCACATAATAGCTGCCCACTCAATACTTAACCCTGCTGTCCGTGTCCTGCTGTGCATAATAAAGGTTCCATCGTCAGCATGATCAGCATTTCTGACACCTTGTTGGATGGAGAAACATGTGGAGTCATATTTAAAAAAACGTGATATTGTATCCCATTTTTTTTAGTGAGTCTGTTAGCCGTATCTGGTTCATTTTGTCTTAACCAAGCGAGAATTCGAGAGACCAGGGATAAATCCCATCTTCACATGTGAGCTGGGTCGCCAAAATGACAGAGCAGCGACGTCAAAAATGAAATAGCCAGTATAATTAAGCAAATATAAATCAAAGCAAAAAGTTGCATATTTTTGTGGGTGTTTCGTTAGCCATCGCGAAACATCCTGGGGGTGTCCAGAAACCCATGCCACCCCCTGCCCCACAGCCACTTGACCACCTCACATTACACGGCACGGAGTGTTGAGAGTGTGCTATGCACTTTTCAATTCAGATCGAAAACGCATTTTGTTGGAACTGCTTTTGTGTTCAGTTCGTTGTCCTTCGCCCGCACATCTGATTGGCACGGTTGGCTATGTGCGGTGTGAAAGAAGTTCAACATGCATACATGCGGGAAAGAGAGGGGTGTGGGAGCAGCCAAGAGGAGACAGGCCTCCTGGGTGATAACACTGTGGCCTTAAAATATAAAATATATATACATCACTGACCTCACGTGCTAGCGGAGCACATATGCAGCTTAGGTTGCACATAGGCACCTTCTCTGCGCTATGAAAAGGGCCAATGCCTGAAACCTTGTTTATTATTATATATTTCCTGTTAAGACCACAGCGTTATCGACAAATGTGTATATTTTTTTTTACTTTACCATGTGTGCCTGTGCACAGCTACCAACGCATTTGGCTAACGGGTCTAATGGGTGATGGGAGAGGTGAAAAGCAGGAGACACGTGGCAGCACTGGGTGATATCTCGCACTAGACCACTGGCTATTGCAACAGCGGAGCGTGTTGCACCACCACAGTGCACTTGCAAAGGGCTGCTGCTGCTTCTGCTGATGACAATGGTGATAAGGAAGCTTGAGGAGGCATGTAAAGTAGCGTTCTTCCAGGTACCTTATGGAGATGAAAGGATACCAATAATGCCTTGTCAAGAAGAGCTTCAAAGACTTGTGAAAAAAAAGAACTTCTGGGAAAAAAGCCGCACAGGCATAAGTGGGGGTGCAATTCTCAGTAAATGGGGATGTTTAGGATATCGTGCACGCGTAATGAATAACTCTTGCCCAACAATTGCTTTGTTTCCAATTATAACGATGTTTTTTTTTTACAATAACAATGTCTGAACGAGCTGAAAAATACGCACGTGTTTTTTTTTGCCTTTGTGTTCTTCCCTCTACCGCCTGTGACAGAACATCCTAAATTCACTCAAAACAAACGTACACATGACAAATCTCCTTTTAATATCAGAAGCTAGGCAGGGTTGAACCTGCTTAGCACTTTTATTGGTGATCGTATAATTTAACATTATATAACCATTGACTTCCATGCTTATCACCAGTCTTGTCCATCTGCTTACCAACGCTTCTACCGATGCGTCCTTCCCAAGGCCACTTACCTTCTTAACAGCCAATGGCGCGGAGTTTCTGTGTCCTAAATGACGCGAATTGGACCGTTCCAGCTAGAATCACGAGATTATATTCGTACATATAATAGGCTCACATTTTCAGGCACTGCTTCGTGGTCTGGGCACCGCAGTGTGAAGTGTGACCACCAACTCAACCTCTATGCCACCTCTCCCTGTTTCCTCAAAAAGGCCTGAAGTCTAAATTGTTGGACAACTGTTTATTGTTTTGTTACAAGGCAAACATGGTGATGTGATGACAAACCAAGTGATTTTTTTTGTAAGCCTTGGCTTTTATCATTTTCTAGAAGCCAATATAATTAAAAAAACATAATTCCAATGTTTCCAAGTGCAAACTAAATGTTATTCATTCCTATATATTTATACTCACGGTATTAACCAATGCTCTTGCCGCCGATAGCGAGAGGGCGCTCCAGAGAGCCCCTGAGGAGGGTATTTGACCTACTCTTCCGCACTGGCCAGACAGCCTCGGGAGTGATGGGAGAACCACCGCAACTTTACCCCACCATTCTCTACCCCA